CAGTTAATATCACTGCAACCTAAATGAGTTTGCAAAGAAAGATTAAGCGGGAGTGAAATGATGATGGAATGGGAACGGCGATCCCCAAGACGTCGTTAGAAGCCAAATGACGATGCTAGTGGCGTGGCTACGTCCAAGCGAGTGGCGTTGGTCGTAGGGTCGAGACTCAGGCCGCGGGGTCTAGTTCCCAAGCAATGAGACGTACCCAATAGCATGCCTGGTGGTGTGGCTACAAGATGTTGTGTAGTGGCGTGCCCGATGGCTAGAATGGGATGTGGATGTAAGGCACGCACACGGGTGTTGTGGCAAATGCAGTCTCTATCGAATTATAGAACGTGTTTGTTAGGTAGATACAGAATCCTCTATCTGATAGAGGAATTCTCTATACCATCTACTCAAAGTCCACTTGATGATCCAATCAACAAGAAATGAATTACGTTTATGCCTGAGGCCACTTTCAGTGGTCAGGTCCTTATATTTTTTCCAACGCCAGAGTAAGCTCTCAGCAGACTGGGGAGTAGAGCTAAAGGTACTGTATTGGCTATGGTCCTCCACGATACGCATACTTGTTTGTAGAACGAAATTTCCCCATAATTGGTGCAAAGTACAAGACTTCTTGCTCAGAAAGCATCGTCAGTATCATCTCAAGAAAGCGCACCTTTCCTCTAATAACTTGTGTTTTGCAGTAGTAGATTACTTATTGGAGGAAGGGTAACGCAGCGGTCAGTGATGAACTCCATCAGGAAGCAAGGTGCTGGTTTGAACCTCTCCCCGTCTCCATTCCATGTAGGAACGCCTTAGCTCGGCCATCTCCAAGGTTGCATGGAAAATCTACTCGACCAGTGATTTACGATGTTTGTAAAAGGGAAATCCTTAACAGCACCAGAAACAACGCGATATGTAAGAAAATCCATGCGGGCAAGGAAAGCGAGGAAAAAAATCAAATGCAATAAGTGCTGGAATGCTCAGTGCAGATGTTATAAGATATAAAAAAAATTACTTATTAAATAAATCGTGGTACACATAATCAACAGACAGCAGTGCTTGCGCACCCTTCACGGCCGTTGTCCTTCACAGAGAGCTTCATTGTATCCTTTACACAAGAAAGATAATACGAGTTTATCGACGAAGTCGAATTCAGCTTCAGAGATAGGAGAAAACAGCTCCCACCCTGATCCGAGCTGTCACACGATGAAAAGGAACTGCTTGGATGGTTTAAGTGGGTGAATACTTCCAATCATCTTATCTTAGAGGAGTGCTTCCGTTCAGATCCTCGAAGGTTATAGTAGTGCAGAGCCTATCAATTAGCGTCTTATACTAAATCTTTCGATCGACAATGAGCTTCTAATGGAGGCTTCACGCCTCTGTCTCTTCTTCTTTTTGGCCCTAACATCCCACTGAAATATGAATGCGCTGACGATAATGATGGCGATTATGGACGACCATTTCCGAGAAATTCAATGTGAAAATATTCTATAACGAGATGAAACGAATGCATTTGAAAGTCAATGCATGATTACAAAACGGAAAGAAAGGGAAAGTGACGAAGCGCGAGATTGAAGACACCAGGGACGAACAGAAGCGACCGACTGCGTGATGGGGACCAGCCTGTTGAAGAAAAAAAAGACGTAAGGCTCTAAAAAAAAGTTCGCAAACAGTTAACCATAGATTATATGTTATGCGAATTCTACTTTTAGCTATTTTTACCACAAATAATTGCATATCAAGCTTTTGTTGTCTGAAAAACTGATGCGTCACTTCCGCTTAGTATTCTGCCGTGAAAATTGCAGTGTAGTATAGAAGTACTACAGAAAACTCTAGAAATCTTCATTCACCCAGTGATTTCACTAACTTGGAAGTGAAAAATTACAAACTGAGAAGAAGGCAAAAAATAATTATTAGAACGCAGATGGAGTTTTCTCACACATCAAAGAGTTTCGTATCGAGTTTGTCGTAGTATCTATAGTGACAATAGGGACCACGACCGTTTTTCTTCCACCTCTTATCGAACAAACCGATCTCCGTCTTATTCAAGACTCTGTTACAAAAATACACTCCGAAACGTTCGAAAGCTTCTTGACCATCACCTATTGCAAGGGAGCTATGTCCTGGGTCCTTCCACCTCCACCAGGGACAAAGTTGACTCCTTGAGTTCCAGACCTTATTTTTATCCCCATTGCATGAGCTTTCGAACGTTTCGGAGTGTTATAACTTTTTATTTTCTGCCTACTATAATTTCGCAGCAGGGTACTAAGCGAAATACAACCACAACGTTGCTGAGATATTTGCAAAACTCTAGACCGCAGGTGTCTTTGGTGGGGAACGAACGCGCTATTGTCCTTTCCGGGAGTAACGCGTTCACCACTACACCATGCGGGTCCTTTGTTTCGCCTGTCTTCCGCCTGAAATTATAGTAGGCAGAAAATAGAAAGGTATAACATTGTGATTTCAACTACAGCCGCAGCTTAACTGGGTTCTATGCCGATTTGGGCGCCCCAGATCATTCCCGCTGACGGGTGATTGATGTGGCAAAGATCGATAGAAATAGCCTGAGAGACAAACAAAGGACCCGCATGGTGTGGTGGTGAACGCGTTACTCCCCGGAAAGGACAATGCTGCGTTCGTTCCCCACCATAGACACATGCGGTCCAGAGTTTTGCAAATATCTCAGCAACGTTGTGGTTGTGTTTCGGAGTGTGTTTTTATAATAGAGTTTTGAATAAGACGGAGATCGGTTTGTTCGATAAGATGTGGAACAAAAACATTCGTAGTCCCTATTGTCACTATAGATACTACAGCAAACTCGCTACGAAACTTTTTGATGAATTATTAGAACATTTAAAAAAGCGTTATTTTAATCCTTTCGCAACGAAGTCGATTTTTCGAGGACTGGTCATAATTTATAGAGTAGTAAAGCATTTCAACATTGCTCACGGGTGATTGCTGATGGCAGAGATCGATAGAACTAGCTGAGAGACAGGCGAAACGAAGGACCCACATGGTGTGGTGGTGTACGCGTCACTCCTCGGAAAAGAGAATAGCGCGTTCGTCCCCACCGCAGAGACCTGCGGTCCGGAGTTTGGCAAATATCTCAGCAACATTGTGATGCATGACTCTTCAGAGTTTCTCTGCCCTTTGCTATTGGTGAAGTATTCAATGAAGAAAATAACGGAGAAATACAGCAAACAATCAGCTGGAACCAATAAATCGATTCAAGCCACAGACATTAACTGACACAACATTGTTTGGTTTCAACTTGGAAGATGAAAAAAGCAACCTTAATACTAACCACTGTAGATTGACGTAATGGCACACTCCAGCATGATCTAGAGCATAATTAGGTTTTAATATTAGATTATTCAATGTAGTTACTGTAATTTATTATCGTTATAATAGAATCTCGAAAATAATAAATTCTAGTTTAAAAAAAATATAACTTATGTTCAGTCCTTAAGCTTCTGACGCATTGAAAACGAACAGCTCCGATGCACATCACTTTTTGATGAGCACTTTCGTAACTAAAAAGGAAATGTTTAGTTTGAAAGTGTAAGGATTTCACAACATTCGTCGTTGAACAAACAATTAAAACGAAAATAAAACTAATATTGGACAACATGAGGAATTTTCTGATTGGTGTTTTTTTTCAATAAGCAGACACGAGGTTGTTATTATAGAGCTTATTAGGATACAATAACTGACGGACGCATCGGCGGTTTCGCCTTCTTCAGAGCCTGGAAAGGTCAAATTGAGATGCGATCTACTCAGCCAAACACTTTAGGAACCCCAGCAGATAAAACTTAATAAATAAATTTCTCTCTTTATCGCGCATCTACTGGAAAGGAGTTCAGAAGTCAAAATCATAAACTGAACAACGAACGGGTCAAAATGGCAAGCGCAGCAGGTTTAAAACCAGCAGACATTTCGCATATTAAGATTGAAGTGCCGACATGTCCCGTCCTATACCTACTTATCAGCGAGACCCATAACTTAATATCCGCTGATGATCTGGCCGAACCCTCCACCTTTATAGTTAGACCCATCACCAGTTGTGTGGACGGGCCTACGGATAGTATTGCTCGGTTTATAAATCTAATCCTCAACCAGTTGCCTTAGCACATAACAGCCCATCTCACGAACACGCAAATCTTCCTAGATCTTTTGCGTAACGCACTTGCCAAAAGAGCGTACGTTATGGAGTCGTTCGACGTTACCGCCCTTTACACTAACGTGTCGAACGACTCCGCAAATCCGCGAGCTTCTTGAGCAACACGAAGGAGCAGTTAACATGTATGGCTTTTCGATTCAGCAGCTTGTTGTCCTTTTAAAGGTCTGCTTAAACTGCTCGATCTTCAGATGGTCCGGGAAATATTACGCGCAAATTAGAGGGTTGGCAATGGGACAGCGACTGGAACCAAACCTTGCCGTTGCCTTTATGTCTAAGGTGGAAGCACCAGTAATCGATCTCAGGCCATTACTCTACTGTAGCTATATAGATGACTGTTTTGTCATCTGCTCCACAAAAGAGGAGATGGACAAATGCTTTGAGTCATTGAACGAACAGTCAAAATACATAAAATTCACCCGTGGGAAACCGAAAGGAAATCGGCCTCCATTTCTAAACGTTCAAATCAACCTATCCGAAAACGGCTACATCACAAAATGGTATCGAAAGCCAAGTAGTAAGAATATAGTGGTTCATTACCTCTCCTCTCATCCCTCACACACGAAAAGGGCGCTTATAAGAAATATGTTTCGAACCGCCGNTTTGCGTAACGCACTTGCCAAAAGAGCGTACGTTATGGAGTCGTTCGACGTTACCGCCCTTTACACTAACGTGTCGAACGACTCCGCAAATCCGCGAGCTTCTTGAGCAACACGAAGGAGCAGTTAACATGTATGGCTTTTCGATTCAGCAGCTTGTTGTCCTTTTAAAGGTCTGCTTAAACTGCTCGATCTTCAGATGGTCCGGGAAATATTACGCGCAAATTAGAGGGTTGGCAATGGGACAGCGACTGGAACCAAACCTTGCCGTTGCCTTTATGTCTAAGGTGGAAGCACCAGTAATCGATCTCAGGCCATTACTCTACTGTAGCTATATAGATGACTGTTTTGTCATCTGCTCCACAAAAGAGGAGATGGACAAATGCTTTGAGTCATTGAACGAACAGTCAAAATACATAAAATTCACCCGTGGGAAACCGAAAGGAAATCGGCCTCCATTTCTAAACGTTCAAATCAACCTATCCGAAAACGGCTACATCACAAAATGGTATCGAAAGCCAAGTAGTAAGAATATAGTGGTTCATTACCTCTCCTCTCATCCCTCACACACGAAAAGGGCGCTTATAAGAAATATGTTTCGAACCGCCGCCAGCGTCATAATGAACAAGTCATATGATGGCGTTCCATTTAACAATAGGCCTGATAGGTACTTCTTAGTCGGAAATTCGACCAACTATGGATCCCTTGCCGTCGAAAAAGAGCCGCTCAGGAAGGATCTTAAGCTCAGGCTACAAGGTAAGTTGCCGTGCAGTAGTACCAACAATGAGGGTCTCGGAAAGTACTACTACGACTGCCATAGGATTTCGTGCAAAATCGCGATCGATCAGCGTTCTAATACGCATGCCTCTAAAGCGTCATATCTTGAGACTCCTTAAAGGAATAGAAATAAACCTCAGTTAAACGTTGATATCAAAGAAAAAAAATTCGTCAGAGAAAATGTTGGAGCGCACGAAAATCCTCGATTTAGTATAAGGACTGCTATTTAGTGGGAAATTAGCAATTTTCCTATTTAACACAAAATGGTCAAGTGTTTTCAAGAATTAATCTGAACGCTGGATGGATGAAGTTTGAAGCATTTTTCCCATTCAATGGAGTATTTAACAGAGACTTTCAGCTGCCTACCGCATTCTTTTAATCCGCTGTGAAGTTCATTGAAGAAAACCAAGCACAAGAATAAATGGGATGTTAAAATTTTCTCAAATCAAAAAACACATGGGGAGAAAAGTACTGAAGCGGAATCATCGACCAAGACGATCAATAGTTACCTTACACGAAGGACTACGACAAGCAAGTCATTTTCGTTCCTTTTGCCAAAATTTCTTACATAACCATAAGCTGCCTTCGTGGAACAATGGAAGAAAAAACTCCTTAAGAAGTAGAACGAACAAATACGTGGACGAAAAAAAACGAAAGATTAATACACCTCGAGGAACAATTCATTTTTCGTGGAAAAATAGTCATTATACAGAACATTAGTATAATTGCTTGCTATCGCTCCATATAGGCAGCATTCTCTCCTAAATGGGAGTTTCAGCGGGGACGTGCTACAGGGTAGTTAGACGTGCATTGCACTGCAAACGTGGTCATTGTTCAATCATTCCCGCTCCCTGGGCTCGCAAGCCTTCCATCTCTCCGAGTTTGGCAAATGGTTACCATACTTGTTTGGAAGGGTTGCAACACTGATGTGATACATCGGTAGATCACTGCAAGTTATTGTTAAGGTCAAATATGTATTCAATCACATTCACGATGCTACGAATTAAGTCCAATGCATAGCGCACTATCAGGTATTGATCAACGCCGAGGCGCTCCGAACCGCATTCTTGTTTTCATCGTTTACGGTAGGTGTTCGTTTTTTTTGATGACGAGCAAATGGGAACGACCACCACCATTATGAGGAGAATGCCCAATCCTTTAGAATATCTTCATCGTTAAGGCTTTTATGGAAAGAGAAATAATCCACAACGTCGAATACGAAACATTACCTTCGACTTGTTAGGATTCCGTAACACGTAGTACAACTTCGAGAACAAGTAATCTTGCTGGCTTTCTAAATATTCCGTCATTTTTCTATGTCTCTACCATTACTTTATTTCTTTATTTTACTTATCGTTAATACGTGAAAAAATAACTACTATCATTCAGATGCTCGTTTTAGTAATAGTATTACCATGATTACCATGTCCGAATACATTACCGTCAATTTTCTTGTACTCTTGATAAGGGTACATTTTCAACGCAGAACATATGTCTATTGATTTTCGATCTTTATAGCTGAAAGCAAAATTTCGGACGATGTATGTTAGAGCTTTAGCATCTCGGAAAGCTGAATCGTAGTTTTGTGTGAAACACTAATAAGCAATGAACGAGAGTTTTCCATAATTATGTAAACTTTTTTGAAGACTCCAGCGGAATACTGAAATGCTTCTAGAACGGAACGATTCGGAGAAAATCAACTAGAAAAACTGGTTTTCCGAAGGCGTCTTTTTTTCAGAGTATCAACATTACTCCTCATTTTTTTTTGTCATAATTCTTGACGAATTATAAGCATTACGGAGGAAATGTCGTTGATCAATAAAATCTGGGGCACTTGACAAAATGGTCAAAGGCGCCCTGCAATACACATAGGATTGATCCCGCGTCTCAGGCTTACCAAGCCATGCTTTTCGTTCGTCCTGAGTCAGCAAGTAGGTATCAGGTTTCTCTGGAAGGCTCACAACACCGACTCGATACACCGGTAGGACAGCACGATTCATTGCAAAAGCTAGATTTGCATTCAAGCACGTCTAACTATACCTAATAAAGTTGAATGCAATGCGTATCCCTCAGAGATTGATCACTGTGGAGAGCTCTGTCTCTATGTATCCTATCTTAAAATCTGATATATAGATATAGGCTCAAGACCTGCTATAAATATGCAATCAATGGTGGTCAACATGACAAGAACGGCCAATGTCTTTCTGTCCACATTGTCAATAACACACCGAAAATTTTCAGTAAAATTCCCTTAAACGACATGTATAGCTCGAAAATTGGTATCAGGCTCAATCCGGAAAAGCTTGCACAGACCAATAAACCACCGGCAACTACCTTTGTTGTAGGCGCCGGGAAGTGTCATAGAAGAGGTTAAAGCACTGAACTCTACCAGCAATCAACAACATTCACCAAGAAAGCAAAGCCCTCAGATAGCAGTTAAACCCACTCGCAATTTCGACCACTTTGGAGGATGACAGATGAAGGGAGTGCTGGGATCCGAACAACATATGACGATAGGTTATAAGAATAAATAAATGACAGGTTTTCCTTAGTGGTGAGGCAACATGGTACGTCCCACGGTGGGTGGAATAAGGGGTTAATCGTTGACCAAAAGCGACCTCTGCTTTTTGTTGCTCAGACATAGGTGGATCCACTGAATGGACTTCCTATTTCGACTGCGCTAATTTTGCACATGCATTCTGTATTTACAAGGATGTATTCATGCATGCATGAACGTGAATATTCTCGCTTGCAAGGATTGTATATCACGAGTAAACTGGACTGGGATCCTGCTTCCTAGTCGCATGGAAGGATATCGGAGGCGGTTAAGAGATACCTTCAACGAACAAGCTTCTTGTCTGTTCTTGGAAGGCCCAGCAACCTATTTAAGAGTGTGCCAAGCACTCACGTTTAGAGCTCAACAAGTTATGCGTGAGCACCAAACACAGTACAATAAACGGGCTTCTTTCCCCTGACCTCGAAAGAGCTCCGATAAGGCAGCGTTGAGTACCTCGAGTTCAGAGATGCTGCTAAAACTCCAGGGTCATTCTAGACTGCTTAAATCGCAAAGCACTAAGGTGGCGATCTGTGCACCTATAATGCACTTACACTTGCACTTGAGTCCTCGATAAGGTACGACGTTATCGGACTGGCAGAGACGAAGAGACGTCACCCATTCAACCCCGCTTATGACACAGAAGAAGAACTCTTCCTCAGATCATGCGACGGTAGAAAAGTTGGTGGCGTCGACGTTCTCGTTAACACGAGTTTGGCCACGAATATCGACTCATTCGAAAAACTAACAACTCTCCTCGGAAACGCCTACGATTGAAGAAATGTGGCTCAATACCGGCTTTGACAATCTCCGTTGTTTAGTCACCGACATCAAGCTAAGACGAAGACAAAGTGGAACCGTTCTATATGGACTTGGAAAAGTTCTACATTAAAGACCACATACTCTTCAAGGTCAACATTGGAGATTGTAACACTAAAGTTTCACTAGAGTCATCCTAATCAGGATTGACCGAGTACTTGTATGAGAACAACCATGTGAGTAAGCAGAGTTAAGCAGAGTTTCGAGAAGGATTCCGTGCGACAAACCACATCCACAAGTTAATAAGACTCGCTGAGGTGTCGCGTGAATGCAAGAGACCACTCTGTTTCACTTTCATCGATTTAAGGAAAGCTTTTGACCTAGGTGATATGGAAGCACACATGGAGGATCTGGACAGCCAGTCCATTCCTTCTAAAATGTTAAGATTTTTTGAAAGTTGTACAAAAATGTCACAACCAAAATGTCATCATTCTGCAAGGATATTCACATCGACGTCAAAAAAGGTTAAGGCAACGCGATACCACCACGATCACTGCGACCCTCTAAAACACAATTCGAGCACTGCAGTAGGAAAACCTGGGAGCGGAAATCGATGGCTGGCAATCACACCACCATCGCTTCTTTGATTACACCGTTTTTATAACAACAAACATTAGCAAGGCTGAGCAGTGCTTTCTAACTTTGGTAAGGCTTGTGGAAAGATTGGTCTGCGAATAATCTCAGAAGAAAGGACGTTCATGATGAACGGACCGGCTTCTTATGCTCAATTCACCAACAACGGTGCGAATATCTTCTAATGCGTCAACTGTGTCTAAGTCGGGCAATATGATGAACGACTTAGCTCCAGAGTTGAATAAAAAAAACGAGAAACTTGGGTAGCTTTAAAGAGCCCCAGAACATAGTGAAGAGAATAAAGAACACCTGTGCCCACCTTTTCGATGCCGCGGTACTTCCCGCTTTAACGTATAAGTCAGAAACGTCGTCGATGCGTAACCAGGATGAAAAATCACTTGGCATCATTGAATGCTCAGTCGGAAGGACGATGCTAGGAGCATCCCGTGCCACACAACTAAGAAAAGAGATCGAGATTTCCAACCTGTGTCAACGATCTAAAAACAAAGATGCCATTGTATACGCCAAACTGTCGAAGAATACGCAATGCGTGTGAACGACAAGTGATTCACCAGAGCCTTCAGTGAGTGAATCCCTCGAAACGTCAAATGCACAGCATTAAGAGCACTAACTCGTTGGTCAGACTTCTTCACGTAATCCTAGAAAAAAAAGATTGGTGCTCAACGAGTCTCCAGAGCTAGCAGAACCCACTGGGTTACTCTAACATGCTACAAGGGAGGTAGGAAATTTAGTGGTGTACACCCGAGTCATTCAGCGACCAACTGGAGAACAGATGATATATGCATGTATATATGCATATATATATATACATGCATATACATATGCATATATATGTATATATATGTATATATATATGTATACATGAGCTCTAAAAGTTTTAGGGTTGATCAATTCCTAAGGGATATGCTATATGTTCGACTTCATTGAGCACCGTTGGGGGTGAATCTGGCGTTTACAATAACTTGCGATGGTCTATCGAACCATCGAACCAGTGTTGCCTTCCCTCCAAACAACTCTGTACCTTTACTGACCCCGGAAGGATGAAAGGCTTGGTGGGCCTTGGACACGGGGGTCAATCCCATATGTATTGCAGGGTGGCTCCTACCACTGCGCTACACGCGCCCTATATATATATATCATATATATATGCAT